GAGAGTATTCGAAGGTGCTCTTCAGTATCAGTGTGAAGCTAGCACGAAGGAGCTACTACGAAGAAACTGTGTGTAAGCTAAAAACTTTTTTCCAAAGTTTGTCCGGTGAATAAAACCTTGTCCATGTGATCCAGAATTAAATTCTGCATCGAATGGTGGTATTTTTATTCACCGGACAAACTTTGGAAAAAAGTTTTTAGCTTACACACAGTTTCTTCGTAGTAGCTCCTTCGTGCTAGCTTCACACTGATGTTACATGTTACACACCGGTTACAATGTACATTTTTACTCTTCCATTTAGTCTAGAGTCACTTTTGAAACTAATTCATTCATTCTCCTCTATTCCTTCTTTGAAAGTCACCCTTTTTGTGCTGCTGTGACTGTCGAAGACAACACCTGACAAGCTAAACATCATTTTGAATGACTGGTATCAGATGACATACGTATAGTATACCTGTTTATAAAAGCGTGTGATCTCATTAATATGCTGATCACTATGGAGATCCAGCGATCGGACGTCAGTCAGCTATTACATTTTGTTCTACATATTCCCACTTAAAACATTATCCTCTAAAAATTGATCCTTTGTCGTAAAAAACGGGTCAGAAAATGTTCATGAAAAAACTAACCTCGGATTTGAGATCCTCGACCCCGATTACCCTTCGGTCAACCCTTACTCGACAACGTAGAAAATTTTCATCGCTTAATTAGCTAATGAGCTAGTTGTAATTTCGGGAAACTAACCTCGGATTTGAGTTCCTCGACACCGATTACCCTTCGGTCAACCCTTACTACACATATTAATAATTCATGCTTAGTTAGTAGATAGTTATTTAATAGTTAATAATCAGTTAAAATCAATCTCAGATTCGAGTTCCTCGACCTCGATTACCCTTCGGTCGACCCTTACTCGACAACCAAAAAATTTTTTCCCTTAATTAGTAATTAGCTAATTAGCAAATTGAAATTTCGAGAAAATGGCACCGGTTTCGAAATCCTCGACCTCGATTACCTCATCAGTGGTCAATCTTTGATGACTATAGATAAATTTCATTGATTCATAATATGCTGCAATCTAATTGGATTATGCAAACAAACAAACAAACAAACTTTATGCATTTTCATCACTGTATTTATGACGCTATAACCCTTTCTTTCAGAAAAGGGAATTATAAGTCTATGCATATTAATACTTTCCTATCAATGTTCTTCGACAAATAAACTTATATGACATATATGAAAAGCAACAAATCAGAAAAGCTCTAAAAAATGTTTGGAGAATTTTCTGTCGGCGGTACGGTATTTCGTGCGACGGTATGCCTTGAAACTTACACAGTAGTAGTACGCGATACGAGACGGTATTAAAATTGTGCGATACCGCCGGTCTCTGCTCCTCACAGGTTTTCACTAATCTTTAGGGAATGAAAGACTTGCCACAACTGAAATTTATCAGTATACTGGCGAAACGTAGGATTCCTGCTTGCACTTTTCGCTGATTTCCGGTGTCTACCTGCAGGGACTGCTGCTTTTCCCTTCGAGTTCCTGCAAGTATTACATGAATCCATGAGCCGTAATCATTGTGCTCGACTAGCTAGTCATATTACGGTAGAGAAAAAAGAATACTAATAGTCAAGCCGAGGAAAAATGTTAGACGCAGTTCACTTATAATGTATTTTAGTCAATTTATGTAAATAAGTTCGACTAGAAATAATTGAATTGCTGCAGTCACAGATAAGATATCTTCTGAATCCAATTAATAACGCCGTAACGTGATAAAAAATTGAAAAATATTTTTTCTTTTCCATGTAATATATTTGTGCAAAATCTATTCAAACTACTCCTAATAGAACTTTTATGAAGTTCAGCTGGAGAGACTTTTTCGGGTAAAAACATGAGCTTCCCACGATCGCAGGAATCTGAGTATGTATGTGAGTAGTTTTAAACTTTGAAGCTCAGAGCTCATCCTTGTAAAAATGCTTGAAATGATAACGTTCAAAGCTACATAGTATTTTAATGAATATTTTTTCATTTTAAGTTCGGCTGGGGCGATCTTCGTAGAGTCAGAAACAATTTATTGAACATTTTCATTATAAAATTAAAGTCTTAAAACAAAATATATATTTATAACGTTTAATAAGATAAAAGAATAAAGTCCTTTGAATAAAACAGCAAGAGAAAATATCAGGAATAAATGAACTTTTGAATTCAACTGAGGACTGCAAAAATACCAATAAAATTTGTTTTCTCTTTCGGGTGGATGTAAAAATACACAAACCTATGAAAAATGACATAAGCAATCCTTCCAATATCGTTCAGGATAAAAATTTGTGTTACTATGAAAACCCTTTTCGCCGTTTCATTTTTTGCTTTCTTCTTTAGGAATTCTCAAAAGAATCAGTTGATTATTATATATACATAGATAAAACTATGTCATGGTTTCAGCTTATATTTCGCTTCTTTTGCTCATCACAAACCTTCATACTCAAAATGAATAATCTTAATATTTTTTGCTCTAATTTGAAACCAACTTCTTGATTAAATTTTCATACCATCTATAAACTCTTTAAACTGACATTTTGCTGCAGGATGATTTAGGTTGCAAAAAAAAAAAGAAATAATGTAAACCAAAATGACGATATTTTCTTAATCGAATAGATTTAGTTTTAGGCTTTATTTGCCAACGATTACATATAAACTACGTATATTAAAGAAAAATTTTTTTCAAATAACAAACATTTTTCATTTGAAAAAAGATAACTCTACTGAAAATACCATTTCTTACTAAACAGATTTTCTCCTAATTTTTTAGTAAACTGACATACAGAATGTCATCGTTAAGTATTGAATTATCATTTATTCAAAAGCCTATAGTATTTTCTTTATCTTGTTTCTTTATTTCATTTGGTATAATTGGATGTATTCTAAATATTTTCCTTTTTTCTCGAAAACAATTTCGAACAACATCATGCTGTAAATATTTCTTAGTAGCATCTATTGCAATGTTATTTACTCTTCTAATGTATTCAATTCCAGGAATATACTCTTATATTTATGTCAATCCAAATACATATAATGTTGCTTTTTGTAAATGCCGAGCATACGTTATTCATGTCACTTCTATTATATTCCGTTTTTTATTATGTGCAGCTTCATTTGATCGTTTTGCATTATCATCTTCAAGTGTACGTTTAAGAAATTTGGCAAATGTCAAATTTGCATATTCAATCATTGCTTCAATTACTATCATTATCCCACTTATACACATTTATATGCTCGTCTTTTACAATATAAAATTTAATAATTGTTATAATTCTCTTGATGCCATAGCAATCACTGTTCTTAACATTTATTCTTTATTTAATATATCTATTCTGCCATTAACTATCATGATTATATTTGCTGTATGCATTCGTAAAAATCTAGCGGAAAAACAAAAACGACGGCAAAATGTTCTTGCGATAAGAATTCATCGAAATCAGCAGATTCAATTGAAACGTGATCAACAAATATTAAGAATGTTATTTTCTCAAATTATTGGGTTTTTTATTGTAACATTACCATATACGCTCTATAATATTAATAATATTATTTCTCCTTATATTCTAAATAAAAGTTCCGATCAAGTGGCAATAGAAAATTTTATATCTGCAATATCTGCTGTACTTAGCCATGTTTTTCCAGCAATTTCATTTTATATTTATACATTAACATCAAGTCTGTTTAGAAAAGAACTATGGCTCATGTTACGTTCTGCTTTTTGTTGTCATCTTCTAAATCAACATTTTCGTTTTGAATCAACATCAGCAAATCGAATAAATCCGACAAATAATTAAAAATATGAAGAGCTAAAATATATTTATATTCTATTATATATATATTATATAGTTATGTGATTTGCTTTCTTGTAAAATTTGTTGTATTTAAAATAAAGAAAAAATCTTATTCTGACGATTTCTGATTCAACAGAGGGTGGGTGAAATTCACCTAAATCATCTTTGTATGAATTAACGTTAGCAGAACTATTCTGGATGTGCCGGATATTGTAAAGCGTAGAAATTCGCTTACAACACGAGTTTGAAGAGAATTAAAGTGTTCACAATATCCTATTAGCAATAGATAAAAACCATTTTGGTAGTGTATTTTACTGAGAAAGTGAGCGCATTACTAGAACCTATCCGTGTCCTCCATCCGTTCATTTACACAATAATTCTCGAAAGTCTATTTTGATTGTAATGACATTTTCAATACCGTATTGTCACATCAAAAGATCATTGGATTCCGAAGATGATGCTGATTGGACGAGTGATTCCTAGTTTATTAAAAAGGTATTGACATTTTCCTTCGACTTCTTATGCCTTCCATTTGATACATTCTTTTGCAATAAACATCATGTCTGGATAATTTTATTACACCTGTAAAAGTAACAAAAACCTTCCTATTCCAGTTCTGACTTTAGGATTTAAAGTTCAAGTGCTACATCTGACTGGGCTTCAGTTCCCCTCTATTGGTGTACAGCTGATAAATATAATAGACACTATATGAAAAAATTAAATTCAGTCAATATTTGAACGTACCATTTGTTCTACGGATTCGCCGACCCTACTAAATATAAGGATGTTCCAAATTAATCATAACATATTCAGGATCAGTGGCTCGATGATCTTGTGCTTTTCTCCAAAATTAATTTTTATTCTATTTACTGAAGCACACAAATTGTGATCTTTTTTACGGATACATGTTTCAATCGGAAGGAGAGAGAGAGAGAAAAAGTGTCCAAATGAGAGCACCAGTATGCTATTTTATTAATATTGAGAGAGAATATGACATAATATATCAAGCGTATTGATTACAACGAAAACACAAGAAGCAGAGATAACAAGAATCAAGATAATTGATAATGCCTTGACAATCTCATAAATAGTCAAAAAATTTCAACAATGTTAGAACTTCTCAGTGTCACGGTAGAAAGAGCGTTTATGCATGTTCTATGCGAGACAATGTCAGCAGCAATCACATGAATTAAGTAAGATTATTACTGTACTATTGGAAGTATCGGTAATAGCAATGTCTCGTTTGCCATCATTATCGAAATCGCCTGTATCAAACCAGCAAGAACTACCATGTTTTGTTAATGAGAATGTCACACGCTGTAAGAAAGTTCCATTACCAATACCTGTGAATATTCCAACATTATGTTTACGGAAGTTTGTAACAACAATATCTAATTGATAATCATTATTAAAGTCACCGAGATTGATCCAACAAGGACCACCAAAGCTTCCAGTTCCATATGTCGTGGGGTTTTGAAAAGTTCCGTTACTATTGCCAAGATGAATACTGATAATATTTGTGGTTTCAGCTGCAATAGCCAAATCTAAGTAATCATCATGATTAAAGTCGCCCACAGCAATTGAGGTAGGACAACTATACTGTCCTACTGGCAACATCTGCGAATTCCTGAAAGATCCATCATTTCTATCGAATATTACAAATGCACCATAACAGTAACTATAAAGTCCAGCAAGATCTAATATGCCATCGTTGTTAAAGTCACCAGCAACTATTTGTTCAATATTACTAAGTGGCAACCATTTTAGTGAAAAAGTACCATCACCGTTACCAAAGAGGATAACCATATTTTCCATGCTGTAACCGATAGTAATCAGATCTTGTTTGCCATCTTTATTCAAATCTTCACCTAGAAGTAAAAACGGATGACAGTAAGGTGCAGTCGAGACTATCATTTGCTCTCCGAAGCTTCCATTGCCCAAGTTAAGGAATACGCCTACACTACTATTGTCCGTAAACGCTGTAGCAATATCTAGGTGTCCATCGTAGTTGAAGTCACTAAGAATAATTGAGCGTGGACTGCTACCTGGTCCAGTGAATAATGTCATTTGTGATTGTAAAGTTCCATTACTATCACCAAATAAGATACGTATATTATTGGCATGGAAGTTAGCGACAGCAAGATCTTGATATGCATCATCGTTCAAATTCCCGACTGCAATTCCCGTTGGATATGCATCAGAGCCCATAAAATATGATTTTGCAGGTTGAAACGTTAACTGACAAGTTGGAGCTAGAGAAAAATAGCGAGAATTCTACTACATTCTCAAGATGAGATATCGATAGTCTTTCTATTGCATTCTAACGTATTACATATATCTACCTGATGAGATGACACCTGACATTGAGGGTGTCGGCACATCAGTCATTATAGTGCTGATCGTGTCTAAAGAAAGAAAAAGTATTTAAAACACGATTGGATAGAGTAAATAGGTGCACAGGATTCTCCATACTTAACTTTGTGAAAACGATAGAGTTTTTCAAACTAACGCAAAAACATACTTTGTCGATAAGCTTGATGGTCTTCTTTTCCATGAAGATAAATAATTGGTCCAAGAAAACCTAAACCAACAAACAGGAACAATAAAATACCAAAGAACAGGAATCGTAACAGCGTTAAGGGAATTCTGGACTCTGTCTGAACATTGTCATTGGATAAATTGATTGAAATATTTGTTCCATCACATGTATCACTGGTCGCCATGACGATATTTGATCGTTTCTTTCGATGCTGATACGCTTGAAATATCACATAAATTACTGTGGGACATATCCATTTGAGAACAACATTGAGTCCACCATAAAGTCCCAGTAAAAAGGTTATTGTATGCAGTGAATTAGCCTGTTCAATGTAAGTATAGGAACAAAATGCAGGTGCACAACGATCAAAATATACTGAGTAGTTGATGACCGTTGACCAATTTTCAATGAAAAGATCATTGAAAAAGTCTTGTATGGTTATATTCATAAAAAATCGACTTTGATCTGTTGAATTAAGTGCATCCATAGTTGTCGCATTTGTGCAGTTAATTTGTTGTTGAATGAGATTGATGCATGATAAATTATATAAACATTGAAGATTCGACGCAAAAAAAGATTCTGATGGTGTGCAACCCATTCTAAAACCTTCAACCGATATCATTTCTGACGAATTGTTGTTAAAAAACTTGGCTGTAGTTGTGCAATTCGTATTAAATGCGCACGAACAGTTATTGTCATATTTGATGGGAATGGTGTATGCCACACTCCACGTACCTAGGATATACAAACATATATTTAATCAAAAATAAATTTTTATTAACTTGTCTAAGAGTGGTGGTTTAGCTTTAGCTTTGCATTGAAAAATGCATAATTTAGTGTAGATGCTCCATGACAACTATTTTAATCACTATTGTCAAGCGCTGCTCTCTCTCAAGATATGGAAGATTGCCAAATCAAAACTAAAGTGTTACCCTATATTTTCCTAAATATTTTCGTATAAAATGTAATATTAATATAAAGAATCAGCATACCATATATTGTAGTTCCATTGAATGGAGGAATTAAATATTGATAGTTAGATCCATATGTTGATATAAATGCATTGCCACGATTGATGGATAGAAGTAGGAAAAGTAGGCGAGTGAGTGTCTGGGGAGCTTGGGATTTACTTTGTTCAAGCAGTAAATTAATATATGTACTGAGATCTGATTCCGATCGCAGTTGGGATGTGATAAACGACGAAGAGAGAAATGTATCAATCGTTTCATTGACTGAACGCGCAGAAATATCACACAAACCATAAAGAAATTGAAAATGTGCGAAAAGAAACCGACGATAATCGTGTTTGTCATATACCAACAGATTAGGATTGAAGCCGGCTAGAATTTTTGCTCTCCATTCACTCGAAACAAATGCACTCGAACAAACCTATCAATTATCGAATATCTATAGACATATACCATTGACAGAAATTAATGAGTCATATTCGACTTCGCATACCTGATGAAAAACTGGTTTTATTGACACATATTGATGTAATATTGATGAAATTGTCGAACATGGACATTGAAGTGTATCGTTATGATCACGTATGAGACGGCGATAGTCACTGAGTGACGGCTTAGAAAATGTTTTTGTCAGAATTTGAGGATCCACAGCGGCATAGATGGTTAGTATTGAGAGACCAAAGATCAGAAGAACAATATAGAGCCGAGTTGCGTATTGACCTAAATATTTTCGTTTGGCTGCATCGATGTCACCTGGGAAACGTCGCGGAGGAAATATGTTCATACTAAATATTTTTGTGAATAAAAACATAACCAATTTTCGCCATATTGTTATTAATTTTTGACGAAAACTTGATTGAGTACCTAAGTACAAAAATCAGTTACTGATTTTCTTTTCCTAACATTCACTTCAGTATCGACTGATAAAGATACGAAAGTGATTTGTCATGTTTTCTTTTTAATTGCTGAAAACGACTTCTATTGATAGCTTTTGACTTACGTTGTCTCTGCTCTTCGATATGTGGCTGAATTAAGAAAAAAAAGAAGATCGCTTTGACAAGTTGAGGTGTGATAACGTGTAATGCAGCCGTAAGACCACTGATTAAAGATATGAACGCTATTATCATCGTCATCAAACTTTTCGTAGAAGCAATCTGAGAATATGTGCAATAGATAGGTGCACATTTTGCATAATATTTTTTAAAAGATAAAGATATATTCCATGGTTCCATCATCATTTCGTTAAATATAAATTCGAGTGAAGTCTCGGGAGCAAATTGAGTCGAATCTTGATCATAAATTAAAGGATGAACTCGGAACCATTCAACTCCTGTATCTGATTTCAACATTGTTTGATTAATATAATAATAAAACAAAGATAAACAAAGATTTGAATAAAAACATTCGAGTGTCGAAAGTTTGAGTGTGTCAAACACGAAACACCCTACCGTCATGCCAGGTACAACGTAAGGCTCGGTCATGAAGAAATCCTGCCAATCATAAAATGTAACTGCATATTGACAATGAGTGTCGAGAGCACAGATACAATCTGTAGATGTTCCATTGTAATCGATGATACCTGTCAACCGGAATGTCAACTAAACGAAGAACAGAAGTTTTAGCTGATCAGCTTGTTTCATAAGAAGAAATTCACTCACTTTCGGTGGTAATTGATCAATTATATTCTGATTTGTACCGTGTAAGGCTATGTCGAATGATTGTAAATTATTGTAGTTTTGACTAGTGAAAGGTTCATCAATTTGCGTGAAAAGTCGTGTAAAATTGATGAGAAGACCAAAATTGATGACTAATGATTCAATGAGTTGATTGACGATAATGTTCAGTTGAGCATTGAATTCAACTTCACTAATAACATTAGAAGTAACAAAAAATTGAGCATTGAATCGACGTAGAGCATCGTCAGTTGTTCGATTAATGAGATTACATATACTAGACAATAGTCGAAAATGTCGAGCATCTAAACCAAACCATGAAGAACGAGATATTGTTCGCGTTAATGAAATCCACATTTCACTAACGAAGATACTTGAACAAATTTGATGAATATGTGGAGTTATTGATGTGATATTTGAGTAAGGTACTGAGATGTCCGAACAAGGACATTTCAACGTACTCGAATATGATTTCCATAATTCATTATATTTAGCAAACGATGGATATGATTCAGTTTCGATTACCAAGTGAGTACTAAGCGAAGTAAACATCGTATAAATAACAATCGAACCTTAAACAAAAGAATGCAAACATAGAAATATTATTTTAGACAATACGATTGTCTCGTTCAATAAATCTCAGTTAACCTATTCTCAGATCGATGAAAACTATCCAAAAAACTATAATAAATCAGCTCATTTTCGTTGACCTGATCTATTACCATGAATTTAACTATTGCTGACTTACACAATTATATAGAACTCTCCTTAACAAATCGTTCATCCAGAACAACGGTCTTATACTTGCAAGTAAAATTAAATAAACACGTGTACTGAATTCTTGATATTGTATATCCGTTGGCGTTCGATTCTTTGTTGATTTAAATAGATTTAACTGTTTCAGCCAAGTTCCAAATCGTTGTAAAAGCATTGTGACAGATACTTGAAACAGAAATATGATTAACATTAGGAAAATATTCGGTTCTTGTCAGAGAAGAAATATACCGCTTTTGGCTCTTGGATGGTCTGAACGACATCCGCATTTGATTGAAATCTTAATTGAGCCAGACGACAGTGTACGAAGCAGAATAGTAAGACCACCATATAGACTAATAAAAAGTGTAATTGTGTACGAATAATTTATTTGAATAATTTGAGTGTAAGTACAAGATTTCGAAGCACACGCCGTAAAATATTTCGAATAATTAATGTCTGTTGACCATTGTTCAACGAAAAGATTTCTAAAATGTTCACTCAATGGAATATGTGTTTGATTTAAGGATGAATTTAAACTGATTGAATGGAAATCTATCTATGATATAAAAAGAAAAGTTTTTATTATCTTAAACAAGAATTGATCATGAAATATATACTTGATACAGATCGGGAAAATAATCAGCAAGAACTTGTAGGCAAGTTAGATTATAAAGACAATCAAATGTGCTTTGTAAAATACCATCAAGTGGTGTACATCCACTGAAGAATCCGTCAACTAATGCAGATATATCTGGTTCAAAATCAGGTGGATATGAAGGCCAATACTGTCGATAGGTGATATCGTAAAGACCATTTTCTGCTGCAAACGAAAGAAATCCAGATGGAACAACTATCCCATTGATAAGATCACATGTTGAAACAAGACCAGATGAGCTAGAAGCATCTAGGTCAATGTATCTCACAAATATTATTTGTAATACATCTTTTATTGTAGCGACGTCACTAATTGTGCGCCAATCGATAATGAAAGTATTGGTATTGAGCGCTGTGATAAAAGAATTTGATCGAGCAAAAATTTGAAGAAAATCAAAATGTAAATTAACTTGAGCAAGTATTCCGCTACGGATGAGGTCTATATTTGTCTGAATTTTAACTTGAACTTCTTGTTTGGAAAGAAGTTCAACCGAAAAGAATTGTTCACTTGCAATATTGGTTTTTGTTTGCGATATTGTCTGCATAGAGAATAAGCAAAGTGCAGCGAGAAGTTGAAACTAAAGACACTCAAGAAAAACATCTCCTATGATGTTCTCATCAATGACCTACCTGATAACTGGCAGTTGCTCGAAAATCCATCATAAAATATTTGAATGCATCTGATAAATAGAGAAAATCAATCCATTCTCTACTAACAAAATAACTCGAACATATAGAATGAAATGTAATTGTGTTGGAAACAAAAGTATCATATGGTATAAGATTTGTTGAACATGGACATGAAAGTGTTTCATCATAATCAGCACGAAGTTTATCAAAAAGAGTTGGATTTACATTTGAAACAGTATTCAAACGTGTTTGTTGGTTAGTCAAAGTTACAAAGAAAAGAATATAAAGAGTTACTAAGAAAATATAATCAACATGAACAAAATATCAGATTTTAGAAATAAAATTGTTCAACTTACTGACGAGAAGGAGAACATATAATCGAGTAGCATATAGTTGATATTTGATACTTTGAATTATATGATTTAGTTCACTATCAATGTCATCATATTCATCTTCATCAGGAATAAAAACATTATAATTCAATAGTTGTGTACGAATCCATAAAAATAATCCTTCACTTATACAGGCTACAGATAAGTCGCATCTTTTCTCTTTCTTTACATTATATTTGTTTATTCTTTCTTCTCCTCCTTACAGTCACGTGTTTACGTGCTTTCACGAGAAATTTTTTTCTTCAGATTTCTCTTGTTGTGAATTTTAAGTCTTAATGACTTCTAATTTAAAATCGATTAATTTTAATCGTGGAGAAGTCTGTGAACAGACATCATCTGATCATGCTTCTGCCGTTGGTGATTATGGTACTGCATCTATTAATTTAAACAAGAGTGCTGATTCTCAAATT